TGGAATAAGGCGGGACACAAAAGACATATATACTAAAACTCAAACCTGATATTTTGAACGTTTAGCTAGCTATTTCCTGAGGAGCATTTGCACTCTGGGAAGAAAAAGTTACATTAGTCAAGAAGACCACATATAATCCAACAGAACAAAGCAAAAATGGGACAAAAAACATTACATAACTAAGCATTACAAAACCTTCACCCGTAGATGATCTCCAATTTTGCCAACAGTTTGTCCAACACTAGAAAGACAACATTCTTGCAAAGCTCTTAAACAAGTCATCTCCACCATTTTCAGCTGAAAATTGAGACAGACATGAATCGTGGATGATAGTACATCGACCATGTATCAAATTTAGAATCGTTAGAAAGATCAAAATTATTTTTTAGATATACGTACATAGTGACATGATTATCGGCATAAAGTATAAAACTTCACTAAATACAAGGTAGAATCAATGAGATAAAACGAGTCAAAAGTTAAATTTTAAATTATTAAAATTGTGGAACCCTGTCAAACATCAGGATGTTTAAAAGAAATTATCTCCTATGCACAAGCTACCAGTTATTTTCGATATATACAGGAAACGATATGACTAGAGGAAGAAGATATTCGTACGTATTGAGAAGCAACAGATAAACACTCCTTACTAACCACAGGTAGCGTCTTGCAGTGCTTAGTATTCAGTGGCTACCTCTTTCTTGAGATTGGTAAGCTTTCCATCAATCTTTGACCAAGAAAAAGAAAGTCATTTTCAAATGAAACCGCCCAACAAATTATCAACATGTAAACATATACCTGCTTTCAAATATCAACCAACTACATACAAGAATTCTTAAACAAAGACATTAGCGCATCAACTACATGCAACGGATTTGGTCATAAAAGGTGGGGATCAATTTGTAAACCCGTAAATAAAGAGTCAAAATCATTACAATAGTCACACACTAATAAAAATACACACAGATATATATAACAAAAATACACACACTGACACATAAAAAACAAACACACATTGAATCACGAAAGGCACACACATAGACACTTAGATAATATAAAAATATTCACCAGCAGCACCACACACACTACACACAAAAAAACATTAAAACAAATTGAAAAATGAAAAAATACACACAGTGTGATAAAAACAACCCCAGCCACACCCCACCTACACACAATCCACCTAAAAGCACATACACAAAAATATGTTGATAAAAGAAAATGCACACACATAAAAACAAATTGATGAAAAATACACATACACTAATAAAAACACACGGATGCACAAACTAGACACAAAAACATATTGATAACAAAAAATACACATACTGATACATAGTAAAACGTAAGAATAAACACACGATAAAAGAAAAATACATGATGCACAATAAAACACACACAGACACACTAATAAATATAGACTTTGAGTGATCTATCTATGTCCAACCGACATTGACTTAGAGGGAACTACTAGAGCATATACCTTCAGTTGGTTGAAATATATGAATGGAATTTTCAATTGATTTGTTGAAGAGTGCAGGAGAAGTCTTATTATTAGGATGATGGTGGTGGTGTTTGCATTTGTGGAGTAAGTGAGGGTTAAAGATGAGTACTTACCAAACCCGCTAATTTGTAAACAAATTGGCTACTAATAGATAAGGATTATCACTCCTACATGTAACATTGGTCTTGCCTCTAGCTATTCCTTAGGGTAAAGTATAACTAAGAAGGATATCTCATACCACAACTAGAAAATATTATAAGTACTGTTCACATTGTTATATGGCCTCCTTTGTTTCTAGAGATTAAAAAAGACCAATGACCGAGAAAATCTAACATGAATATTAAATAAGCAACAATGCGACTCACATCATTATAGGCACATATGAATAGTGTGATTTTATGAAGATGGACAATGTTTCCAACAACCCTTATGCAAAAATGATTTTACCACGATGCAAACAAGAAACTTTAACATGATGACCAGATTGAGATAAATTAAAGCAAAACATTACCTGAGATTGTAGGCCAATGAAATTGTGTATAAAAGGTATGAACGGAAATAACCAATTTTCGGAAGGCACTGAAGGTGCTTGTAAGACTTGCTGGTAAACTTAAGACACAAACTACTCTAGTAGCTCTATCATCTTCACCATGTTTACATTATCAATGCGCGAGTGCAAATCACACAAAGCAAGAGATGACAAATTCAAAAGTTAGGCAGGTTGTGGGCAGATTAATGATGAGTTGGGTGTAATCCATTTCCAGGTCATTTTCAACTTGTTTAACGAATGAGTTATAACTAATTTGGTCATTTCCTTAAACCCATAAATAAATTGTCTAAAACATTAAAATAATCACATACTATAAAAATTCACACACATATACACATAAAAGGAACACACTAAAACACAAAGAATACACATAAACAACATTAAAAATACACATAGTAATAAACGCACACTAACACATTAGTAATAAACGCACACTTAACACATTACACAAATCAAAAACACATTGGGAAAATAAAGATTTCACGATACCTAAGTGATCACATTGGATCCTTAGGGAACCATCAAAAATACGGCCGGCCTATATTCGAACGACAACGCCGTGTCGTCCAGCGAAGCCACAGACATTACAATAAAAACATACATAAACAAATACACAAAAACAAATTGATAAAAGAAAACACACAACAACATTGATTAGAAAATGCACATACACTAATAGGCACACACACATAAACCCTAATAAACACGGACAAAAACAACATAAAAATGGACAAAAACATAGGGATAAAAGAAAAATACGCACACTATTACTCAGTCAAATGCAATAACAAATATAACACGCATTGATAAAAAGAAGAATATAGGATACACAATAACTATGTCTTGCCGTGTAAAAGACACCTACATAACTTCTAACAATGCGATAGGGCACATATACACATAAAATGAACGTACTGACACATAAAAATCACACACTAAAACACAAAGAACACACATAAACAACATTAAAAATACACACATTACACAAATCAAAAACACATTGAAAAAATAAAGATTCCACGATACCTAAGTGATCATATTGGATCCTTGGGAACCATCACAAGTACGTCAGGGCTATATTTGAACGATAATGTCGTTTCGTCCAGCAAAGCCACAAACATCACAATAAATAAATACATAAACAAATTGATAAAAGAAAACACACACAACAACCCTGATAAGAAAATACACATACACTAATAGACACACACACACACATAGACTCTAATAAACACGCACAAAAACAACAAAAAAATACACAAAAACATAGGGATAAAAGAAAATACGCACACTATTACGCAGTCAAATGCAATAACAAATATAACGCACGTTGATAAAAGAAGAATATAGGATACACAATAACTATGTCTTGCCATGTAAAAGACACCTCCATAACTTCTGACAATACGATAGAGCACATATACACATAAAAAGAACACACTGACACATAAAAATCACACACTAAAACACAAAGAACGCACATAAACAATATTAAAAATACACATAGGAATAAAAGCACGCTAACACATTACACAAATCAAAAACACATTGGGAAAATAAAGATTCCACAATACCTAAGTGATCATATTGGGTCCTTGGAAACCATCACAAGTACGACCGGCCTATATTTTAACGATAATGTCGTGTCGTCCAGTGGAGCCACAAATATTACAATAAAAGCATACATAAACAAATACACAAAAACAAATTGATAAAAGAAAACACACACAACAACATTGATCAGAAAATGCACATACACTAATAGACACACACACACATAGACCCTAATAAACATACACAAGAACAACATAGAAATGCACAAAAACATAGAGATAAAAGAAAAATACACACACTATTACGAAGTCAAATGCAATAACAAATATAACGCACGTTGATAAAAGAAGAATATAGGATACACAATAACTATGTCTTGCCATGTAAAAGACACCTCCACAACTTCTGACAATACGATAGAGCACATATACACATAAAAAGAACACACTGACACATAAAAATCACACACTAAAACACAAAGAACGCACATAAACAATATTAAAAATACACATAGGAATAAAAGCACGCTAACACATTACACAAATCAAAAACACATTGGGAAAATAAAGATTCCACAATACCTAAGTGATCATATTGGGTCCTTGGAAACCATCACAAGTACGACCGGCCTATATTTTAACGATAATGTCGTGTCGTCCAGTGGAGCCACAAATATTACAATAAAAGCATACATAAACAAATACACAAAAACAAATTGATAAAAGAAAACACACACAACAACATTGATCAGAAAATGCACATACACTAATAGACACACACACACATAGACCCTAATAAACATACACAAGAACAACATAGAAATGCACAAAAACATAGAGATAAAAGAAAAATACACACACTATTACGAAGTCAAATGCAATAACAAATATAACGCACGTTGATAAAAGAAGAATATAGGATACACAATAACTATGTCTTGCCATGTAAAAGACACCTCCACAACTTATGATAATGCGATAGGGCATAAAAGCTTTGAAACAAGCCAAAGAATAATTTCGTTTTTCAGTACATTTAATATTTCAATAGGATCCTTCTATAAACCAAATGTCACGAACTATCATACCTTTTTTACAATACCCTATTCAGATCATTCCTTTAGTACTTGCACAAATAGAAGCTGCAGAACATAGCTTTCAAGAATCACCCAGCAAGATGGGTCCGGACTATTCCTTTCTACTTTGCTTTCAATCCTTCCTTGTTTAGGTCTAGAATCTTTTATTTTGGAACTACAAAAATCTTTTATTTTTGATTGACGTGGATTCAAACCTTGTTGAGAAATACCAAAGGCAAGATAAATAACAGTTCAAGAAAAAAAGCCAAAAAATAAAAAGTTAGGAATGTACCTTTACACCCTTTTGACATGAAATAGAAATTTGGATTATCTTGCTTATGTTTGAAATTCACAAAAATAATGAAAGTCTTGTGATAAAGATTTTGAATAGACCACACTATAATAAGAAGGGGTGAACAACATAAGTTCAAATGGTCTTACTTCGTTTCTTCAACACCGCCCATGTCTCTCCTGCATTTCAGGAGAACAAGGTACTTTTAGGGTCTCCATTTGTGAAGTTCTTTGGTTCCTTGGAGACTGCATTGGCATCCATTGGCTTACCATTTTCTGAGGACAAGCTGTTGCTGCAATTGCTAGCATCATCTTTTAGCTCAAATTTTCCACCATTTGTTGACACATCTTCTCTCTGTCTTGAAGGCTGGAGATAAGTGTTTTATTTGTACATGTTATGTTAGCAGAAAAAATCAACCACAGGGAAGTCTGATTGGGAAGCAAGAAATAAAATAATGATAATGAAACATGTTTCATGATTCATCAATATTCTACACAAGAACACAAACATAAACTAAAAAAAAATTGATGAGAAAGAAAGCACCTAACATGCTGAATGACTTTATAATAGCCCTGCATAAATACATTAAAACTCATTCAAGAAGTAGAATAGTATGACATCTTAAAATAAGAAGGATAAAAATATCACTTTCCAAATAGACACCTGTTATTCTCTAGGTCGGAGAATTCAAAGGCAAATTCTGGCTTCTCATCAATTCCAAATTTTCAAATAGTCAGCAGGAATGGCATCCAATTGAAATGACCACTTCTTCCGAGACAAACTATACTCCTCGTAAAGAAATTTGTCATCTAAGAAGCTAGAACTTACTGATGAACAGGCATTTTATTTTTTAATAAATTGATCTTGTGGGGTAAAAAGAAAAAATCAGACATAAATGCAGATATTGCTAAAATGTTGCAATTCAGCTAAAAACCACTCTGTTGTTGTAATTCAAAAAGTATGAAAAGCACACATGGAGAAATGACACCACTGATTAGTCGTTCATTTCAAATCATCTCCACAAACAAATTTTTTATTATCTTGTCTTAAATAAGTAAGTTGATGATAAGATGGTATGCCTGAAGCTAAAATTAAAATAAAGTTTTATTCATATTAGAGCTAAAGCCTTAGAGTACATCAACTGAGCTTTCATCCAATTAACTGGCAACTACCAATTCGATATTGCATTTTCAAAATTCTTATCATCCATTTAACCATAGCCCATGCATATCAAGTACATAGAGGTACTTCTCAACGTCAGCGACACCTATGGTGTTAGACCATCCAGCCCAAACCACTTGGCAATGGTTGCAGTGGCCTTCAAGTATATAAACCAACCTCGATGGTCCTAATTGTTCGATGTGGGATACAAGCTCTCTTAATACCCTCCCTCACACGCGGGCAAAAACAGTCGCTTTATGAATGTAAAGACATTAATTCACTAATCCACTAACAGTCAACTGATTCCAAGATGTGTAGCAAAGGTAAACACCACATCTTTATAAATTTGCATCTATAGATGGCAATTTGTTGGGAAAACAACTCAAAAGAAGTAAATAACCCTATTGAGTCAACCAAACTCCAAGGATTTACATCAATGACTTAGACAAATTAATGAACTGGACGCGGTGGAGGCTGGTGAATTAAATCAATGATTTGGACAGACCAATTAACTTGGTCATGGTGGACAAACCAAACACCTCCGTGAAATAAAAACATCAGACGATATAATCAAGAACCTACCAAACATCAACAAAACTAGAGAAATTGTTCCAACAGATATGTATGGAAAAAGATTTGAAGTCCTTAACCATAATCAAAGATCAATATAACTGATAACTCAATCAAGAAGTACCTTGAAATTTTTAAACGAAGTATCTAGAAAATTTGGGTTTTGTAGGGGGTTTGCAGCTATTTTTTTGTGGTTGTTGGCAGGTTGGATTCTTGTCGGGGGAGGAGTCTGCAAGGAAAGAGGTGGCTTCCCAAGAAAAAAGGGGGGGGGGGTGCCAAGGCGGGGAGACTGCCCCCTTTCCTCTCTCTCTATTTCATCTCTTTTCAATTTTGAGAATTTGGAGGGTCAATAAGTTTGATTCTAAAGGATAAATAAATCCTCTTAAAAGTTAAAATCTCCAACCAAAAGTCAAAGGGTGTCATTGTAATTTACCTAGAGCTAAATATTGATCTGTACCATCAACTGTTGTGATGGCTCTCATTTCTCAAAAGGCCCATTGTGGACAATGGATTTTCAATAGAATTAATGCTAATGCTATCTTTATTCCCTAGAATTTTTAATTATGTGGGAGTCTAGACAATGGACAACCTAAACCCCTATATTACATATCAAGGTAATTTTAGGATCAGATTTCAGCAGATTATGCATGTTTTTGGTGAACAGTAATGTAAACTTCTCTAAATAAGTCCAGCAGCATGAGATCAGCTCACTGATAGTTTAGCTGTCCCATAATTTCAGATGGAACACCAGATTTTTTTTTTGAAGACCAGAGCAAGAACTAGATTAAGTTGTCATGTTACTTTCCATCTAAATGATCCTTAAATATCCAATCAAAAGCATGACAAAGTTCCAGAACAGTGTACAATTGAGCCTAAAAAACAGAGATTCAGCAAGTGATAAGACACATAAGGTCTCAATTCAGGAACAGTAATAAGAGATAAAAGCCACTCACCCCTGCATCAACAGCAATAGGCCAACCAAGGTTATCCATCTCAACTTCGAGTTCATAAATGCTTTTGTTAATCAAAGGCGTAATACCTGGTATTCTCTCCCTAATTACACATACCGAGTGCAAATAGTAAAAAACAAAAAGCACACATCTAGTTTACCTTTTTTGTGATCAATAAAAACATAATAATTTGAACAAATAAGATGCACAAAATTATACCTACGAGAGAAGTTTGGCAAGGTACTTTGAACCCATTTCACTAGCTAAGTTCCATATTCAGGACTTACAGTGAAGTATTTGCATTCTTTCCACGTTGCAGCAATCAAGTCAATATTTTTATTTATATCAACTTGTGAACGGTTCACAATTCCCACCCAAGGATGTTGCAACCAATATGATCTTCCTACAAAAACATTCCGTGGGGAAGAAGAAGAATGTCAATTATCTAAACTACTAAATATGAAAATAAAAGTAAACATAAAAACAAAAAGAGGAAACTCTTGATCAAGAAGTATATTGTCTAATGTTGTATCAACTAAACTGTTGACATAAAAGGAGACAACAGAAAATTAAGGATAAAGGATGCATCCAAATGTCCATTCACGTGGGCAAGCCACATATGTTGTCATAAGGAGAAAACTGCATAATATAAAGAATTTACGTAGAGATTCATAAATTGACTGCAAACAAGAGGCAAACAGAACATACCCAATGGATGCACTTTCCTAGAAAGATGGTGCCATATCTTGATTGGCAGGGGAAATTGTTAGTGTAATGCTGTTGGGCTACGGCAAACATAGTTTCATCAATTTCAACGGTCCAAAAACTGTACAACAGAAGAAATTTCTATAGAAAATGACAATGCATCAACAAGGATGGTACATGTAGACAACAAATGAAATAGATAAACAGAAGATGAAATAGAGGAAGTTAATGGCACAAAAGCGAGTATCATATCTGTGGAACAACAAAAAACTTCTCCACTAGTTGTAATAAGCTGCAATAACTTCCACATCATGAAAATCTAAAAATCAATAGTATATTGGAATGCTGGAAATCCCATAGACAAAAAAGGCATAAGGAGGAATAAGGCAAAAATGCATCAGATTATGGAGATTTGTTAAACCTTAAGAAGTACTAAGACATTCAACTAAAGGGAGCACACTTGGATTGAAAGTGAAAATTTATCTTGTAAATTGGAAGTGAAATGTTTACAAGCTTGTTGGAACACAGCAATTTGAAACCTAAACTGACTTGGGAGGTATCCAGAATTCTGCAATAACTTCCACAGCATCATGAAAATCTAAAGATCAATAGTTTATTAGAATGCAAGAAATCCCACAAAAACAAAAAATGCATAAGGAGGAATAAGGCAAAAATGCATCAGATTATGGACATATGTTAAATCTTAAGAAGTACCAAGTCATTCAACCAAAGGGAGCACACTTGGAGTGACAAATTTCCAATGTAGGAATTTTTCTGGGTAAGTTAATTTAGGTCTTAAAGGCATCCATTTCAAATCTTATTAGCAATGGGTGGTGAAGAGGCCCCCAAGGCTCATATACAAGTTTGGTTCATGCAGTTATATTCATGTGGGATAAGATATAGCATGCAACCCGCTCTTGAACATGGACAGTCGGAAATAAAAACCACAAGACACTCAGATATATAAGAAGGTGCACTTATGGAACGAACAAAGGGAGAACCAAATACCAAATCAATGAAGTTGAGAAACGAGTCTTTCCTAAGACCTCCCTAACTCTCCCAAGATAGTGTGTCAAAGGCATCCACTCAAAACCAGTGAGGTGGAAAGGCTCACAAAGGTATACTAGTTTGAAAGATGCCATAATGTCAAAGTGAGATAAGCTCTAACAATGAGTGTATTGTATTTACAAGAGATGAATTATAGTACCTTCTCAACATAAGATCGAACAATGGTTTCAATGTCTTGAACAATACTTTCCAGCTGACCCTCTGCAAAGAATAAACCTTTTTTTATTAAATGGAATTCAGCTCACTTACGAGATCCAAAACATCATAAACTAAATATAGGAGATACCAGCAGCCGCTTTCGTCAAACCAGGCAAATCTATCAAGAGAAAAAATATAAAATGGAGTTAGTGAAAGAGAGAAAATAAAAAGTTGGCTAGCGGGAATATAATATCATTATACTGATATAGAGCACGAAATTATAGACTATTTTATGTCATTCATGTGCACACATATATGGAAAGCCAGAAAGAGTACCTCTTTCTTTCCAATCCGTGTGCAGAAGAGCAATTGAGACAGTTTGGCCTAACTGGATAGTCAACCATTGCTTTGGAATTGTGATCTTGAGTGTCTCAGAAACCATACCACCATAAGATGAAACATTTGACCCTACCTCCTAAAGTGGCCCTCTCCACAGCGGTCAATGGGTGAGGCAGCTGGGTTTCCCCACTTTCTTCACTTCCTGGGAAACTTTCCGGAAGAAATCCAAAGTCCGATCTGAAGATTCCATGTCCACCAATCTCAGAACAGTCTTTTTACTCCATGACGGAACCTTTCTAAGGCTTCATTGGCAGGCTCCAGCTATTGCAGCTTGCAGAGTTGGAAACTGCTTCAGCTCCTGTTCCATAAAAGGAAAAAAAAAANCCATAGAAGGCATTGAAATTTTTTCCAGATATTTTAATGTATAATCATTCATTCATAAGACAAAAAAATATATTAATTAAATCAATTCATGGAACTCACCTTCAAATTTAACAAATTCTCAAACTCAGAATATTTATCCACAATCAAATAAATATACATACAAATTCCTCTCAAAAAGTATTAAATAAAACCCATATAAATGCCATTGGTGTTTACGAAGAGACGACCGTCGTTTCTGTCGAATCGTTAAAGATAACAGATAGAAAGAGTTATTGAGATTAAAGGAGAAGAGAGGCTTTGGCTTACATTTATAGTTTGTGGACAATCGATTAGGAAACCAAGAGAGGAGAAGACAGGTTTGGGTGTGAGCTAACGGCNCGATTAGAAAACAATGGGATGAAGTTTTAATGTCACCTGACATTGTCCCATTGAATTCCTGACAAGTTCCTTTAAGATGAAGCGAACTAAACATGGATGCGTTGAACGAATTGCAGTTAGAGGGTGAGAAAGGTTGGATAAACAGTACAGGAAATGAACTGCTAAAATAGAAAGGGTTAATCGTAAATTACACGCTAAAAATATGTTCGAATTTTAATTTATATTTTTAAAGATTAAAAATATAAATTTATATTCTCAAAAATAAAAATTTATATCAATGTACACCCCCAAATATCAAAAACTTTAATTTTCACACTCAAAGATATAAATTTATATCAATGTGCATTCGCAAAAATAAAAAATCTCAATTTATACCTTCAAAGATAAAAATTTGTATCAATGTGCACCTAAAACTAAATTGATAAATTATACCNGAATTAGGAAACCAATTGAACAGTGTTGCCTATGGGAAAATTACACTTTGACCCCTTGACGATTCCATATTTTTCATATTATACTCTGAGCTATGTGATTAGTTTTAAATTGCTCTAATTATTAAAATCCATTACATATTTAATGAAAATTTATTTAATCTTACCCCCGAAATTATTTACTTTTTCCACTTTGTCTNCTCTTATGTTTGTCACTTAATCATTTGGATCCCTTCACATTTAGAATATTGTTCCTACATCTCATAACGTTTGTGCACGTATAACACGTAACATTTTTTCGTTGATATCTGTTAATATAACCGTTAAAAAATATAATTTTATCCTAATAAAAAATTATAATTTCATATTATCCTTTATTTTATGGATTCAATATACTATAAAATTTAAAATCAAGTTTACCATTTGAATGTCTAATAGAATAAAGGGTTACACATTGAGTGATATATTGCATTAGATATAAAAAATATTATATAAATATCTACATTCTATTTAACATTCGAATGATAAACTTAATTTTGAACTTTATAATATATCGGACCCACAAAATAAAGGGTAATATGAAAAAGAGTTACGTGTTACACGTGAACAAACACCATGAGATAAAGGAGTAATATTTTAAATGTGAAGGGATCCAAATGATTAAGTGATAAACATGAGGGATCTAGGTATAATTTATCTATTTAGTTTTAGATTTTTGATCTTTGGGAGTGCACATTGATACAAATTTCTATCTTTGAGGGTACAAATTGAGATTTTTGATCTTTGGGGGTGCACATTAATACAAATTTCTATCTTTGAGGGTATAAATTGAGATTTTTGATCTTTGGGGGTGCACATTAATACAAATTTCTATCTTTGAGGGTACAAATTGAGATTTTTAATTTTTAAGAATGCACATTAATACAAATTTTTATTTTTGAAGATATAAATTAAAATTTTTAATATTTAAAAATTTAAATTGAGATTCAAACTATCCTAGGGCAAATTAAAATTCGAACTACTTGCAGCAGATTCTCGTACTATAAAGTACATAGCTGAAAAATAAACAATAGAACTTTACTTTCCGAAAAAAACATAAACAATAAAACTTAAGAGAAATTACCTTTCCGAGCTGCTAAAATAGAAAAGAACTATTTTCTTGTACTGTAAAATACATAGCTGAAACATTAACAATAGAACTTAAGAGAAATTACCTTCCCAAACCAATCTGCAACATCGCAAAACAGTCCATCCATAGAAGGCATTGAAATTTTTTCCAGATATTTTAATGTATAATCATTCATTCATAAGACAAAAAAATATATTAATTAAATCAATTCATGGAACTCACCTTCAAATTTAACAAATTCTCAACCTGAGAATATTTATCCACAATCAAATAAATATACATACAAATTCCTCTCAAAAAATATTAAATAAAACCCATATAAATGCCATTAGTGTTTACGAAGAGACAACCATCGTTTCTGTCGAATTGTTAAAGATAACAAATAGAAAGAGTTATTGAGATTAAAGGAGAAGAGAGGCTTTGGCTTACATTTATAGTTTGTGAACAATCGATTAGGAAACCAAGAGAGGAGAAGACAGGTTTGGGTGTGAGCTAACGGCTAACTCGGATTAGGAAACCAATTGAACAGTGTTGCCTATGGGAAAATTACACTTTGACCCCTTGACGATTTCATATTTTTCATATTATACTCTGAGCTATGTGATTAGTTTTAAATTGCTCTAATTATTAAAATCCATTACATATCTAATGAAAATTTATTTAATCTTACCCCCGAAATTATTTACTTTTTCCACTTTGTCTTGACACNATTAAATATGAATACAATACCACCTGGAAATAAAAAAAATAAAATAAAACTACCCCAAAATTCTCTAATATCTTATCTTTTTTGGATAGAATACACCGATAGTCCCCAAAATATGCGTGTGGTAAAATACAACGTTATTGTTTCATTTATATATCTATATAATAAAATAGAGCTATTTTTTAAATTTCAAAGATTAAAAACAGCTTAGATCATTTCGTGATAAAAATAAGACATCATCCGAGTTATCTCAACTTTTCTCAAAATTGTTTCATTTCAGCAGACTGTAGAGCAATGAATCTAGCTTAAGCAAAAAGGGTATAAAAATTACCAAAAACTGTACCTTACTTAAAAAGGACCTGTTATACAGGTAGGGCTCCTACCTCTCTATCATCCATGACTTCTGAGATAGGAACCTAAGAAGTTGCAAGGTATAACTTACGAATGAAAAGCATTAATTTGATTGTGGTAGTCCCCACTCTGGACGAACCTGGAGGTGGTGAAATCTATTCTTTTTGACAAAAGAAAATTTATAAAATAAAAATTGTGAAGGCAAAATACCATCATTGTCGCTTCTCAAAAGACAACTACAAAAGTGTGAGTTCATTACAAAGCATTATTTCCCAAGTTCCCGCTTGTCAATAACATTGCCGTTACATAAATCATGCTTTATTGAACACTTATTGAGCCTTCTTTCTAGCATCTGAGAAAGACAACGTCAAGAAAGCAAAAGAAGGAAATACATGAGGAAAAGAAGGAAATACATGAGGAAAAAAAAAAAAAAGAAGAGCATGGTGTAGAACACAACCAACAAATCAAACTTATAGGCGAGATTTTGCTTGCCCCACTGGAGAACTCTGCAATGAACGCGTACCGACATTATTAGAAACGCAATATTAGCAGGCAAAGCAGGCACCCGGAGGAAGTATAAGTTACAATCAACAAAAAAATCAAACATTTACTCATAGGCCAGAGCCTTCTGCAGGCAGGCTGCAGGCTCCATGTATTAACATAATGGTCAGCCATTTTTACACAATTTGGCCAGTTACCAAAACCATCATGGCTCAACATGTGATGTACTCCAATCTAGCGATGAATTGCAGACATGCAAGTATGATTCAACTGAACATTACAAAATTGATTTCATTCCAAGAAGTTCTAATTTTTGGTAGATCAAATTTGTAAAGCAAAAACATGGAGATGGTTAGAATCTCTAGAATAATTGAATCATATTATCATTTCTTGAAAGGTTGATCTCGTGGACAAGACCCAATAGATGGTGGGCGCCCGATCCAAATAGCATGAAAGTTATTTAGACTGGCTGAGTACATGTGACCACATGTTTGCACCAGACCGAAGCTTTTACATGACTATTAAACACAAAAATTTGCAACTGGAAATTTGTACGGGAAGACTCCCCAATCAAAAACAGACAAAGGTGGATCTATCGGATAAGATAATGTCCAATGGTCATGAATAACTATGACCCTGTTTTAAATGCTCAGATTTAGTTTCATGAATTATTAATCATATCACCCACAGGAGTCAGGTTGAGAATACTTACTAGAGGAATCCCTTTGGCGCCTCTTTCAGCCAAATAGGAACANGCTCATGAATAACTATGACCCTGTTTTAAATGCTCAGATTTATTGTCATGAATTATTAATCATATCACCCACAGGAGTCAGCTTGAGAATACTTACTAGAGGAATCCCTTTGGCGCCTCTTTCAGCCAAATAGGAACAAGGCTTGAAAAATCCTCCATACATATTTGACCACTCATTCAATCTTGAGTAAATATAATTCGACCCAACAGAATCTGCCCAGAACATAATTCCTCCCCTGTTCAAAGCAGTTCAAAATATATTACTATGAGAATATTATGATATTTGGAGGAAAATGCCTTCAACCACGTGTAACCACAGACCTGTAAGGCGGGAACCCCATGCCCATCACAGCAGAAATGTCCAGATCAGCTGCTTTAACTGAAATACCTTCAGCAAGTACTCGGCAGGCCTCATTAACCACAGGGAAGAATACCATCTCGACAATATCCTTCTCCGACAATTTTGTCA